CCCGACAAGGATTACAAGAGGCCAAAAAGAAGAATGTAGATGTAGTCATAATGGATACAGCTGGAAGACTTCAGGTCATATCATCATGGTTTTCGGATTCCACTATAAATTTTTCTAGTAGTTTGTATTTAAACCTTTCTCTTAGTTCTTGTAGATAGATAAAACTATGATGGATGAATTAAAAGACGTGAAACGGGTACTGAACCCCACAGAGGTTTTACTTGTTGTGGATGCAATGACTGGCCAAGAAGCTGCAGGTACTTCTACACTCATAAAACATGCAAATGATCTATTACATGCCACAGGCATTTTGCTTCTTGTGAAAAATGGCTTTTGACTAGCATGGTCATATATCACTTTTCACGTATTTTCGTTCTGTGTGGCTTCCTTTATACTTTGATCTACAGCAAGGTCTCACTAATATTTATGCTCTGTGGTTGATCTCATTGAGGAACATCTCTTTTTTCTTAACCATGGACATTCACATAATGCCAAAGAAGTGTATCTTATCAGTTATCATGCATACTTTTGACTTACCACACTTTTGCATTTTCTTGCTCCAAGGACTAACCGTCTGATACAAAAAACTTTCCTTAACAATCCAGGCCATACTGTTATCTGAGGTCCGCTTCTCACAGAAAGAGCAAAATATCTGTTGTTTGTGTAATTTGGCCACTGAGCATTTTTCTCAAGAGAATGTTATATTGCTTTTCATCAAAGCTAGGAGACTTATGACACAGCTGTATATGACAGTTAATTTCTTTCTTGTGCTTGTCTTGTAGGAATAGAAGTTATTTGTTGGAACTTCATCACATAAATATGGATGTTATCTTTGATAAACCTCTGAAGCTGTTTAACTATTTTTATACTCCCCCTATTCACGCGACATGTTTGGTTGATATGGAGTTTAAGGAATTAGTTTCATTTACTTGAAACTTTTTTAGTCAGAAAAAAAAAATACTGAATTGTTTTTTTGAGGTTAATGGAGAAAGGCATTCCATATCTGAGTTGTTAAATGAATCTGAACTCTTGAAATTTGTTACTAGATAGTGCAATAAAAGTCTGTAACATCTCAAAACAGAAATCATAGTTGTTCACTTTCATTGAGTTCTTACTGACACAAGGACATAATTTCTGCCCTTTACCAATCATTTCATGTTGAAAACAGAAATTTCCGGTTTGTTTTCTCTCTTATCGTTCATATTGATGAAATTGTAGCTTTGGTCACAACATTCAATCTCGAAATTGGAATTACTGGTGCCATCTTGACGAAGCTAGATGGAGATTCTAGGGGTGGAGCAGCTTTAAGTGTCAAGGAGGTGGGTTCTTATTACTACAAGACACATACACTTGTTTTTTCCTTGTTCTAAGTTCAGCCTTGTACAGTATGAATGGTACCTTTGGAGTTATATTTTGCTTCAACTTCTCTTGATTAGATTTTGTCAAAAAAACTTCTCTTGATTAGCAAAATCAACATATATACTTTTTGAACTTAGAACAGCAAAGAAAAAGGAGAATTAATGAGGGAAGTAGACGATTATAAATATGCAAAAGCTTTTTTTCCTTGGAGGGATCATGCGACGAAACATAAACTAAAACGTAAAGAGTGGTTGGACAGTAAACTTCAGATTTCCTCTATGTTCAACATGTCTTCTAAGTATTATCTTGGAAGAAGTTTACTTTTGTCAAGTTTTAAACTGAATGGAATAGATTTGAAGCCAATAGGCAATTGATGATATCTGTTTAAGTGGTTGTGTCAAATGTTGCTAATATGGATCATAAGTTACAACACAACAACAACCCAGTGTAGTCCCACAGGTGTGTAATGGGGAGGTGTAGGATGTAAGCAGATCTTACTCCTACCTTTTGTGGGGTAGAGAGGTTGTATACGAATCATACGTTATAGACAAAAAGAAATCACTGATTGCTCTTTAACAGTCAGGTTTTTCATTAAATGAACTAAGATTTTGCATCACAATTATATGTTCACTACCACAGGTATCAGGAAAGCCAATTAAGCTCGTAGGAAGGGGTGAGCGTATGGAGGACCTTGAACCTTTCTATCCTGACCGCATGGCTGGACGTATTTTAGGGATGGGAGATGTTCTATCATTTGTTGAGAAAGCCCAAGAAGTTGTAAGTGGCAAACAAGTATTAATGCTCCTATTTTTTTTCGTTTTAATTTGGTTCAAGTAGTTTCATTTGACTCCCCTTATAAATGATTTTAGATGCGTCAAGAAGATGCTGAAGATTTGCAGAAGAAGATCATGAGTGCAAAATTTGATTTCAATGACTTCCTGAAGCAAACTCGGGCAGTTGCTCGGATGGGTACCATGTCCCGCGTTATTGGAATGATGCCTGGCATGGGAAAGGTATATTCCTGGTTCTTATTAAATCTATTTCTCCTTTCCATGTCGTTAATATTGTATGGTGAAATTCATGTTTTAATAGTTACTACACATACTTTAACTTGGCTAAAATGTAACGACCGATTTCAGATCAAACAATCAAACTATGTTATCAATTCTCAAAAAGAAAAAGATCAAACAATCAAACCTTGTATCAGCTATATTCCTTCGTTTTTATTTATGTGATGAAATGGGACCGAATCCCTTCTTGTTCATGCATAAACAGGTTACTCCTGCACAAATTCGAGAGGCAGAGAAGAGCTTATTGATAATGGAGTCAATGATAGAAGTCATGACACCAGGTTATTTATCTTACTTCAAGGTTTCTAAGGACACATGTTACTTTGTCTAACCTAAACATGTATACTTCCTCTGTTTCAATTTGTTTGTCTTACTTTCCTTTTTAGTCCATTTAAAAAAGAACGTCTCTTTCTTTTTTTGGCAACTCAGTAATTCTAACTTTCCACGTGACACGTATAAGACTACAAGATTAAAGGACATTTTGGTACATTCTATGTATCTTTAGTTTTCTACGTATCTTTAGTTGGAAACCAGAATCAAATTGAAAAGGAAGGAGTACTAGTGCTGCTAGCTCAATTCATATTTCATTGTCTTTCATCTTTTTTCTCAGAGGAGAGGGAGCAACCAGAATTGTTAGCAGAATCTCCTGCTAGAAGGAAACGTATCGCTCAAGAGTCTGGAAAAACTGAGCAACAGGTAAAAATCTGTGTGGAGTACTGATGCTAATATGCCATAAAACATAAATTCTTTGTCTGAGAACATTCGGTACTCCTTGCATGCACGTACATAACTTGATTGCAATTTGTAGGTGAGTCAACTTGTTGCTCAACTTTTTCAAATGCGTGTACGTATGAAGAATTTGATGGGCGTTATGGAAGGTGGTTCGATTCCTGCACTGAGTAATCTAGAGGAGGCACTAAAATCTGAACAGCAGGTGCTTATCTTGTCTAAATTTTTGGCTGAATTACTTGTTATCAAATTAGAATATGTGGATGTAGTAGTCAGTTCCAATTTTGAGCTCCTTACCTCCTTACTATGCTGTAATTATTTCTTCTTACATATTAGTCGTGGTGCGCACAAACTGGCCCCGAACACCACAGTTATCGGGGAAAAAAAGAGTTCTTACATAGTATTTCTTTTCTCTTCCAATATGCCTTAAAGATTGTAAATTCCACTTGTTCGAGGATTTGCTGATACATCTGTTCGATCTAATACACATTTCTATTGTATGAGATGGAGAAACCTATTCTTCTATGCATTTGTTTTTTTTTTACTGGACTTGTACCCGAAAAGTGCATGTTTGTCATGTATTCTTAGATTTGCACTTCTGTTATCTTATCGTTCATTAACTTAAGCTGATGGATTCGAATGGTCATCTTGTTCCCTTCTTTCTTCAGGCTCCTCCCGGTACTGCTAGGAGGAAGCGAAGGTCAGAACCAAGGAAGCAATTTGCAGACTCAGGATCAGCTAGGCCTAGCCCTCGTGGTTTCGGGGGCAAGAACTGAAGTATAAGACTAATATGTCAATCAAATTTTTGAAGGGCTAGCATCTTTGACTAGCTATTTATGAGTATCAACTAGAAAAAGGAATTGTGAGCAAAAAAGGAAATGATCAACTAGAAAAGGGAAGTTCTTGACAAGATAATAGTACATTGTATGTACTCTCAACTATATAGTTTTGTCCCTCTTCTTGTGTAAAACTATTGTCTTGTTGATGTATCTAAAGGCTTTGATTTCTTCACATAACCATCTTGTAATCTTGGTAATTTCTTAGTTTTTCCCACTCCTTTAAAGTTTTACATTCAAAAGCTTTCTGCTTAATTATAGCATGTTTGGCCAAACTTTTAAAATTTCGAAGTGTTTTTTCTCTTTTCTTTCAAAACCACTTATTTTAGAAAAATGAAGGTTGTTTGGCCAATCTTTGAATAGCAACAAAAGCTAATAAAAAAATGTAGCACTCATAAAAAGTTCATATATACAAAAATTGAGCCGAGAGTATTTCGGAAATAACCTCTACCTCCACAAAATAGTGGTAATGTTTGTGTATATTCTACCTTTCCAAACCTTACTCGTGAGATTTTATTAGGTATTATGTTGTTGTTAGTAGTGATAACTTATGACAATAATATAGCTAGCGTAATTCTACAAGTGGAGTCTAGAGAGGGTGGTGCGTACAAAATCTTGTAACCCCATATGGAGATTGGAGAGTATGGTGAGTGCACAAACTTACTCGAGTAGGCAAAGAGGTTGTTTTCGAGCAATATAAAATACATGAATAAGTAAAACAAACAAACAAAAAAAAACAAAAAAAAACAAAAATCATAATCAACATTTTGCCAATTTCTTTTTTTTCTAGTAATTAGTGATAAATCAAATTTCTTTTTTTCCTTTATTTTCTAGTAAACATAAATCATAATCAACATTTTCTCAAAGTAAGTTGAGATCCTCTATATATGGTAGCATCATTTCAAGGAATGTCATCCATGTGTTAGGTAAAACTATTCTTTTTAATCCTACTTTTTGAACCAAAATTTCATAATTCATATATTATAATTACATAAACAAAGTGAAGTAAAACAACAAAAGAGAGTAAAATATTAAAATATTTACAATTTTTTGTTTGGATAAAAGCAAAATATGGCAAGTGGAGTTGAAAGTTTTCCAGCAGTGGATGCTGAAAAAGAATTGAATCCACAAAACAATAAGGAATTTCAAGTTGATTCTGTATCATCACAAGTTGCTTCCTCACTTGAAAAAGAGGTAAATCATTTCTAATTTCTTTGGAAAAATAAACTAATTGAGATATTAAAATCGTTCAGGCTTAAGTCTGCTAGGAGAAGAAACTTCATGTCCTTAAATGCGTTACTATAGAATATTAAAGCTTCTACATGATTATGTGAAATTTGCTAGAAAAAATCGACACACTGATTTAATTTCGTCTAGACATGTCTAATCGTGGTCTTAGAAAAATATTTATAATTTTCAATAATAGATCGAAGTTTGATGATGTTGTATGTCCTCTTCATTGGTAAACTTGACAAATATTTCTTATTAATGAACTTCGAAATAACAAACATTTTTATCATATTAGTGGTTAATGATATATATAGATGATTTATATAAGCTACGTAACTAACTTGAGATTGAAGTAATGGTTAATTTTCTTGAATCTGAAATATCTTATTAAGGATGAAGAAATCTTATTTATCTCACCACAACTACTGATCAGATGTAATTAAGATATAATTTACAATTATGAAATATAGAGTGAGATTGAGAATATTAACTCATTCATAACTTACTAGCATCCCATTGAATTTTAAAAAATGTGAAAAAAGACAAATATATCCCTGAATTATCGTAAATGGTATGCAGATACCCTTCGTTATACTTTTGGGACATTGGTTCCCCTGTTGCCCAAAAACTAGAGTATATATACCCTTTATACAAACAGATATACACGTGTCATAATATTATCTACCGATCAGACATTTATTAAATATCGGATCGACGAATAAGATTGTGTCACGTGTTCCTATTTAGTTTTCTGTTAGAGTGAAGGGCATATATGCTCTAGTTTTTGGATGGCAGGGGCACCACTGTCCCAAAAGTATGACGGAGGGTATCTGCATACCATTTACTATAGTTTGAGGGTATATTTGTCCTTTTTCCCAAAAAAATTGACACAAGAATAATATTTCATGCATGAGAAAAATAAACCATGGTATATATTTTCATTTTCTTTTCTTGAATGAAATGGTTTTGCGAGCCGAGTGTCTTTCAGACACAATGTAAGGGTAAGATCTATATACACATTATCCTTTTCAAAAATTATTTATGGGGATTATAATTTATACTGAATATGTTATTGTTGATTTAATACAGGCAAAGGAAAAATTGGAGAAAATGAAAAATGAAAAAGATAGAAAGGATGCAATACAAAATTTCAAGACTGCTATGATTATCTCTGGAGTTGTTGTTGCTGTTGCTGGGGCTATTTTTGCAATTACCAAAAAGCTCAGAGAGAGATCAAATTAATTAGCACTTTATTTATTTATAATATAGTTTTGAACCCTTTTTAAATTTTATTTTAATATTCACCAAATTCATACATATAAAGAATTTGCTAATATTTATTTATGTTTTAGGTTTTATCGATAAACATTCTCCAAGACAAAAATAGTCTAAATAAGACGCAATGAAAGTAGAAAGAGGCAATAGACTAAAGATAGTAGCATAACATTACTACAATCACGAAATAATAAATAATGGGAGATATCGAAGAACAAGAAACTAAAATTCATCCTAGGAATATTAGTAAGGACAATACGACAAACCACTCCTATTCATAAGTATATATGAAATTTATTTTTAAAAATATAAAACTCAAATTCACTATTAACAGTAGGGGTGGGCATAAACACCGAGAAACCAAAACACCAAATTGAACCGAATTATTTCGATATTTCGGTTTCGATATTTTAGTTTTTGGTTCGGTATTCGGTATATATTTTCGTATTTTTTGGTATTTCAATTCGATTTTCGGTATTTAATTTTGTACTATTCGGTATTTCGATTTACCGAAATATATTATATTATATTTATAATATTATTAATATTTTATTAATATCAAATAATAAATAGGCAAAAATCAATTAGGTCAAACTTTACCCTTTTACTTTTTCTAATTTCTTAGCAGTTTAATAGGAAATTAGGAATAGGCATAGCAGCCGCACATTCTAATTTCACGGTCCAACTTTCCATGTCTTCCGGCGACCGGCAATCAGCAACAAGCCAACGACCGGCCGACCAGCACGCACTACGCAGCAGCGATCGCCGACCAGCATCACGTAGTAGCCGGCAACCATCAATGTAACTATTTTTAGCCCATTAAACTGAAAAATCAAACAAAAAAATGTATACTTTTAAATTTTTAAAAGCCCACTAAGCAGGCCCATAACAAAAAAATCGAATCGAATCGAAATAATTTGGTTCGGTGTTCAATACACGTTGTACAAGAATTGAAAATCAAAAAAATCGAATAACCGAATGCCCAACCCTAATTAACAGTAATAAATTTCTCTCAAGACCAAATACCTAAAATGATTGTCAAGGTCTCAATTTCGAGCCCTTAATATGAAAAAATCTTACTTACTAATTACTACATAGAAGAAGGGAAATTCTCAACTAATAATTGGTAAGAACATGATTAAGAGTTTATTTAAATTGACTTTTGATTTATGACTTACACAGATTGATATAAACTAAAAATACAAATTATAAATTCTTTTATTATTTTAGATCAAAACTAAGTATTTTGCTTTTAATAATTTTGTAAGCTTTTTTCTTTAGTTTCCACTTATCTCATAAGCTCAAATTCGTTTCGAAAAGTTTCACATTAACTTATTAAGAATTAAACGCTCTCTAACAAAACGAACTCGAAGCTCCGTCCCAACCCTCGTTGTCATAAAAAGTTGGAAAGCCCTAAAAATGGCTGATAGAGCTCTCTATTCACTCTCGTTAGACTGATAAATCTGCGGATGCGAGGTAATCTCACTATACATTTGAAATCAGTACTGTTTTCTGCTTTTAAATCCTTCAAAAAATGGATGATTTGATGCAAAAATCATTGAAACCCCCCAATTTTTTAGCTGTATTTATTAACAGTACAAGTGAAGGAATCGATAGAATTAGCTATTTGCCTGATGATATATTGCACAATATACTTTCATATCTCTACATCTTCGATGTTGTTCAGCTAAGCATTTTGTCGAAAAGATGGAACTATATATGGAGGACAATGCCTTACTTGAATTTTGATATTAATAGCTTTGGTTGTGAACGGATTAATAGGCCTTGGGATTTGGGTATGGCTGAGAAATTCAAAGATTTTATCAATTGGGTGTTTATTAACCAATGTGAGGATACCCTTGTTTGTTTTAAGCTTTGTTGTGGGGATATTTTTGGTAAAGGGGCTATTTTTCGATGGGTTCGTGTTGTGACAACTCGAAATGTTCAAGAACTTGTGTTAAATTTTTGTCCTGCTGGGCCATTTGAGTTGCCATATTGTGTTGTGACTTGTGAATCTTTGCGAGTTTTTGAAAATACGGATGGATGGGTCTGTACTTAAGTTGCCTAATCATTTCGGATTTCATCAGCTTAAATTTCTTCATCTTGAAGAAGTTGAGTTATCAAACGAGCATTTGACGAGTTGCTTGTTCTCAAGACTAGAAAAACTGAAATTGGATTGTTGCAATTTTGGAAGTATGACTATGGTTGATATTGCTTCGACGTCTCTGGTTTATGTGTCTATAAAGAACTTTGTGGACAACAGAGTAAGTTTCGTCAATTGTAACATCAAAATTTCTTGCCCGAATCTCAAGGTCTTGAAATATGGTGCTCCATTGGCAAAGGATATAATTCTAGAGAATCTCTTCTCTATAGAAGTTGTTCACCTCTTCTTTTTTGATTCAGATGATGTAATGGAAGAAATTGGTATGTGTGTGCATAACATGATCAAGAATGTCGTTTCTACTTCAACTTTGAAATTATGCCATAGTTCCATTGGGGGTTTGTATAATGTATTTCATGGAGTCAGAAACTTCCCAGTCACGTTTTATAAGCTTAAGTGCTTAAAATTGGCAGTGGCAATTGATGAATCTTGCATGGAAGTCATGATGCTATTGCTCAAGCATTCTCCTAATTTGGAGGTTCTGGATTTGTTTTCTGATGAGAATTATGGTTGGGATGAAAACTGGAAGTTGCATGATCCTAGTGAAAGCGTTGTGTGCTTGGAGTCTCATCTAAAGTTGATACAGTTGGCTGGTTTCAAAAATGAAGAAAAAGAGATAGAGCTACTAAGGTTTTTCCTTAAGAATGCACAAGTATTAGAAAAACTGATAGTTGTTTGGGAATGCTATAATGACATATTAGAAGAGGTATCCGATGAGGTCTCGAAGTTTCCTAGAGCCTCTTCGCATGTTGTTGTGTCATTTCTTAATTTCAAACCCAAATCAAGATCTCGTTACCGGGACAATTTTGTTTAAAAGAGGTTGTGATTGTGAGGCTATGTTGCTTGGACTTGGACTTGGACTCTGACTCTCCAAAAATGTTGTACTACTTTTGGAAGATCTGACATACATTTGAAGTGTCCAAGCAACATAGGCTAGAAGTACCCTTTTAGAGAACTAGTGCATGAGCAAGCACATGAAGCCTTAAGTTTATGAATTTCTACAACTGTTTCGCCTTTTCAATGAGCACTAGACATCCTTCAATGAAGCATGTTTGACTCCGGACAAAGAAGCATTCAACTTGTCAACAGATGTTACACGCGTCTCCAAGATTTAGGAAGTATTAGTCATCTCTTTCTGCACTATATGGTTGTTGTTGACCTCTGAAACATGTTTTATTATGTTTTTGGACTTGCGTGGGTCATGTCGTACACAGTTAAAGATGCATATGAATGCTGGAAGCATGAAGAAGATCTGGATGTCCCTGCAAGTATTTTTTTTGGTGTTTTTGGTGAATTTCAACTCCAAACTACTCCCAACTATAAGCTAGATGTTTGTGTAACTTATTTAGCTTGATGGACAACTTAAGCCATGTAAATTACTTATTTCATCAAAGAGTAAGGATAATTTCCCTTTGCTTCATTTTTCGTTTTATTATTGTAGCTTTACTTGAGCTGAGGGTCTATTGGAAACATTGAGGTAAGACGGCGTACACACACCTCTCCAAACCCCGCTTATGGGATTGCTTCTACTTTCATACACCAACAATGATTACTGTCAAGAAGAGTGATGAGTGTTTGGTGTATACTCCAAGAATGGCTTGTGGAAAGCAAGTCTTGATTAATGGTTTTCAACCACTAACTATGGCTTCTGCTTCATCAAAGGCTTGAGTTAAAAATACACAAATGTGGACTAATACTATCTTTATAACTTGGGGCTGGGGGAGAGAAGAGAGCATAATAAGGTAGAATAGAGTAGTCTTTTTTTTTTTCTGGGCAAAGGAAACCTGCCGATGCTAACCTTTGGTGCACATAGGGTGAAACTTCACTGCTATGCAATAGGTCGCAAACCACACAGGAGAGATAATCTTTCTATCGGAAGCCATTGTAATTGAAGACATTATTCAAAGGTCAAGGCTCAACATTAGTCATTAGGTTGTTAATTACTCGTAGTTCATTTTTATTTGTTATATTTGGACATAGCACACATTAAAAATAATAATATTTGACATGATTATTTTATTACACTATCCTTATTCATTGATATTTAGTATAGTCTTGAAAAATAATTTGGGGAATAAATAATTAATGCTAAGGATAAACATGAGAAAAATAATTGTATTTTCTTGATATGTTAAAAGTGACAAATAAAAGAAAAGATATATTTTTGGAATAATGGACAAGTAAAATTGAACAAAGGGAGTATTATTTAAAAAACGATTAACCTGTCATATCGAGCCATACTAAATTGATTATTAGTTATATATCTTTGAATTAACAAGGTAAGAAAGGTTGCCCCATTGTAGAGATGTGAGGGTTTGACTATGAACGGTTTCAAGAGAGGTTATGGTAGGTTGGAGAAGTATTGGAGAAATGTGATTAGACAGGACATGACGCAACTTCAGCATCTTGAATATATGATTTTAGACATGAAGTTATGGAGGATAAAGATTAGGGCAGGAAGTTAGGTAGATAGTTGAACGATTGCCTCACTTAGTTTTTTGTCTTTTGAGTTTGGTTATTATTTATGATTTTTTACATCTTTATTATTGTTTTTATCTTATTATTAGTATTGTTTAAAATGATTTGATAGGTTATCTATAGTATTTTGCGAGACTTTCTTTATTTTCATATTTCTTTCTCTATGCTACTTAATTTGGTTTGTATTTTTCTTGAGTTGGTGGTCTATCAGAAACTATCTCTCTACCTTAAAGATAGTTACAAAGGTCTGCTAATATTTTATTCTTTTTAGACCTCCACTATTATGGGATTACACGGGATATGTTGTTGTTGACCAAACACAACTTCAATTTTCAAATATCATTTTTTCTCTTTGAAAACAATTTTTTTTTTCAAATTTCACAATGAAAAATGGCTAATCGCCTACTTATTCCTGACTCATGAGTGTTGAAACTAGTACTCTCTCCATCCAAATTTATGTGATAGTATTCAAATTTCAAGGGTCAAATGAATTTTTCTTTGATAACGATTTTTCATGTCATTTATATATTACATTTCACTTTATATATTTAGTTAATTAACCAAATCTGATAAGGTTTTGAATACTTAAAAGACTAAATTCGATAACTGTATAATTAATAGACCAAATCTAATAAGATTTTTGAATATTTAAAAAACTAAATCCGATAAATTTATAGTTAAGATACTATTTTAGACCTAATCCAATAGTTCAGACCATTTACAACATTTTCTCCCAATTGGAAAGGGTGGGGGGTTTAGTATTTAGTTGAACAAATTGGTGTAAAACCCTTAGGGGTCGTTTGGTGTGAGGGATAATACCAAATAGTCCCGGGATTAAATTATAGTACCGCTTATTTTGTTGTTTGGTTGGCAAGTTCGGGATAACTTATCTCGGGATTAATAATTAGTACCGGGATAAGTTATCCCTAACCTAGGGTGGTATAGTAATCTTGGGATAACTTATCCCGGGATAAAATGGTAAATGCAAAAATGTCTCTTTCAACCCTTTTTGTTATTATCACTTTTTACATTAATGAAGGATATTTTTGTAAACAAATAAATTGTTCTTAAAATTTATTATTTTGAATACAACAAACCAAACACTCAATAAAAAATAATCCCAACACAAACTTATCCCATCATAACTAATCTCAACATAACTTATCCCAACATAACTTATCCCATCATAACTCATTTTCAAACCAAACGACCCCTGAGGGATCGTTTGGTGTAAAGGATAAGTACAAATAATCCCGAGATTAAATTATAGTACCACTTAATTTGTTGTTTGATTGGCAAGTTCAGGATAACTTATCCCGGGATTAATAATTAGTACCGGGATAAGTTATCCCTCCCCATGGGTGGTATAGTAATTTCGGGATAACTTATCCCGGGGTAAAATAGGTAAATGACAAATATGTTCCTTTAAATCCTTTTTATACACCATTTTTCACATTTATGTATATTTACATTTTTTTAATACCATGTATAATAATACTTACTACTCCTTATTTTTTATGATAATTATACATATTTTTCTATTAAAAAATTACACTATATAAATATAATTTTTATTTATGAATTTATTTGACTAATTCTTATGTTTATTTTATTTTTGATTTCTCATAAACTTTCTTCTCTTTAACAAACTTAAGAGGGAAGTTCTATTTTTTAAGCTAAATAAGAAAAAAATTATATTTTTAAATACACATAGTACTTATCACAGGGATACATAAACAAAAATATTTAAGTTAAATAAAATAAAAGTTTTATTTTTAAAAATGAATAACTAAAGCTCACAAAGAAAAATTTAAAAAATTTAAATAAAGTGAAGGGTAATTTTGTAAACAAACAATTTATTCTTAAAATTTATCAATATATAATATTTTTGAATACAACAAACCAAACACTCAATAAGAAATAATCTCAGGACAACTTATCTCATCATAACTCAAATTCAAACCAAACGATCCCTTACAATAGTTATAAGACTCATTAGAAAACCCCAAAGATGGCTGATGGAAGCTCGCTATCGTTCTCATTCCACTGATAAATCTCGGAAGGGAGGTAATCTCACTGTTCATCTGAAATCACTACTGTTTTATGCTTTTTAATCCTTCAAAAAATGGAAGATTTGATGCAAAAATCATTGAAAACTCCCAAGTATTTAGCTGCATCCAGTGCAAGTGAAGGAATTGATAGAATTAGCTATTTGCCAGATGAAATACTATACAATATACTTTCATCAATTTACATTTTCGACGTGGTTCAGTTAAGCATTTTGTCGAAAAGATGGAACTATATATGGAGGACAATGCCTTACTTGAATTTTGATATTAATCGTTTTGGTCATGAACGGATTAATCGACCTTGGGATTTGGTTATGGCGGGGAAATTCAAAGATTTTATCAATTGGGTGTTTATTAACCAATGTGGGTTTGGGGATAGCCTTGTTTGCTTTAAGCTTTGTTGTGGGAATATTTTCTATAAAGGGGATATTTTTCGATGGGTTCGTGTTGTGACAACTCGAAATTGTGTTAGTTTTTTGTCCTGCTGAGCCATTTGAGTTGCCATATTGTGTTGTGACTTGTGAATCTTTGCGAGTTTTGAAAATACGGATGGATGGGTCTGTACTTAAGTTGCCTAATCATTTCAGATTTCATCAGCTTAAATTTCTTCATCTTGAAGAAGTTGAGTTATCAAACGAGCATTTGACGAGTTGCTTGTTCTCAAGACTAGAAAAACTGAAATTGGATAGTTGTAATTTTGGAAGTATGACTATGGTTGATATTGCTTCGACGTCTCTGGTTTATGTGTCTATAAAGAACTTTGTGGACAACAGAGTAAGTTTCGTCAATTGTAACATCAAAATTTCTTGCCCGAATCTCAAGGTCTTGAAATATGGTGCTCCATTGGCAAAGGATATAATTCTAGAGAATCTCTTCTCTATAGAAGTTGTTCACCTCTTCTTTTTTGATTCAGACGATGTAACAGAAGAACTTGGTATGTGTGTGCATAAGATGATCAAGAATGTCGTTTCTACTTCAACTTTGAAATTATGCCAAAGTTCCATTGGGGGTTTGTATGGTGTACTTCATGGAGTAAGAAACTTCCCAGTCACGTTTTGTAAGCTTAAGTGCTTACAATTGGCAGTGGCAATTGATAAATCTTGCATGGAAGTCATGATGCTATTTCTCAAGCATTCTCCTAATTTAGAGGTTCTTAATTTGTTCTCTGACGAGAATTATGGTTGGGATGAAAACTGGAAGTTCCATGATCCTAGTGAAAGTGTAGTGTGCTTGGAGTCTCATCTTAAGTCGATTCAATTGACTGGTTTCAAAGACGAAGATAAAGAGATCGAGCTACTAAGGTTTTTCCTTAAGTATGCACAAGTATTAGAAAAACTGATAATTGTTTGGGATAGGTATAATGACACATCAGAAGAGGCAATAGAGGAGGTTTTGAAGTTTCCTAGAGCTTCTTCACATGTTGTTGTCACATTTCTTAATGCCAAACCCAAATCAAGATCTCGTTACCGCTCAATATAAGTTTAAAAGAGGTTTTGATTGTTAGAACCTAGTTCTTGGACTCTGACTCTCCAAAACTGTTGTCATACCCGTGTTAGAAGCGTTCAACTTGTCAACAGATGTTACACGCATCTCCAAGATTTGAAAAGTATCGGTCACCTCTTTCTGCACTGTACCGTAGTTGTTGGCATATGAATGCTAGTGCTTATGAAGAAGATTTGTATGTGCCTGTAAGTATTTTTTGGTGTGTTTGGATAGAAAGGAATCGTAGATGCTTTGATGGGATTTCAAGTCGAAACCACTTCCTATAAGCTAGATGTTTGTGTTACCTATTTAGCTTGAACAACTTAAACCCTGTTAATTGTGTTGATCAAAGAGTAAGGATAATTTCACTTTGCTACGTTTTTCGTATTATTATTGTATGTTGTTTTCTTTGCTTCAGTTTCCGTACTATTTGTTGTTTCTATTGTTCTCTTCTAATATTTTGATGTGCTTTACTTGAGTGGAGAGTTTATCGGAAACTCTAGATCTCTCTACCCTAATAAGGTTTGAATAAGACTGCATATGCACCCCTTCTCCAAACCCCACTTGTGGGACTCCACTAGTCTGTTGTTGCCGTCGTATCTACGTTAAAGAACGATGGAAATACAAAGGGACTAGTTTGGATCTAAATGAATGGATTAAGAATGACTACTCGTAAATAAAACAATAATATATATTTTTACTTTAATACAACATGTCAATGAGAGGTAGAGAGACTGTTTTCAATAGACTCGATTCAAGAAAAAGCAGATTGAAAAAAAAAACGAAAGTAAACAAATCATGACAAAATACTATAGAAATTATTAATAAGAACAATAACTCTAATAAAATAATACGGTAATCGAAGTACATGAGACAATATATATAACAATAGAAACCAAATAATAAGAACTTACGGGAGAAATACTACGACTACTATGGAATCCGGAAGGATAAACGAAGACAATGCTCAAAATAGAAGGACAAAAGTTTTATATTTTGTTAATTGCAGGTTAAATGTAGTTAATTAAAAGTATATATATTATAAGGACCAAAATTAGAGTGTATGGATGTTAAGGGACTAAAAACGCAAATACCTAAATTAACCACCGGAAAATGTCCCTAATTAACCTGAAGCCGCCGTATCACGGCCGTTCGCCGCCCCTTCGCCGCCACAAACTCACAGTCCCCCGCCAGGTAACCAAACCAACTACTAACATCATCTTCAATTTCTCCATTTCAACCTCTGCATTAACAATAAAATCATCATCTACACGCGCCGCTGCGAACTCCGGCAATTTCATTTCTCCGTTCACCTCTATAGCTCCTCTTAAACCTTATCTCCTTTCGGAATGGAAACCGATTCTCTGTGGATGGCTCTGCAGTGTTTTATCTGTTTACTCTCTGTCCAAAATTGTTCCCAAAGTTGGAAAATTCTCGTCTCTCATGAATCCGTTGGATGTTGTGAGGCTGAGAGAGGAGTGTTTGGTTTTGGGAGGTTTGTTTTTCGTTCGACTCGTTGGTAATTATCTGCAGCAAGCGTTTCTATGGGAAGCTGCGTTGAACTGTGTGTATAAGATGAGGGTTTGTGTTTTCCATAAGGTTTTGCAGAGAGATTTAGGGTTTTTTGAGGGAGAAAATGGGATTGCTGCTGGAGATGTTGCTTATAGGATTACTGCTGAAGCTTCTGATGTTGCTGATACTGTTTATTCTCTCTTGAATGTGAGTTGAGAAAATGATGCTTTGATATCTCTAACCAATGTTGCTAGAACTCTCCAAAAATGTTGCTGCACCTGTGTTGGATCTCCAAAAATGCATGGCTGATGCTACACAAACCCACCAATATCTTTGAAGAGTCCGAGCAGCATAGCTTCTTACTAACTAGCCCTCGAGCCTCCAGTTTTGTGTATTTTTATAATGTTGAATGAACCACATTAAGACAATAATGCGTTGTTACTCCCAACGACCAAAGCTCATGGATCATCTGTTTCTGTATGTTTTATGTTGCTGAACTGTGTGAACTGCATAATCGAAAAGTTTTAACAGTTATAAGGGTACACTTATATTTATTTGTTGTGCTTGCAAGCACCCTTTCACGATTACTCTCTTGGATTATGCATGTGAAATTTTTGTTTTGCTGGGTGGGATATTATATATAATATTTGAACCTATGATCTAAGAAAACGATTTTTGAACCCCCTTAACACTACACTAGACTAGAGCCTTCTCTTATGTCAAGAGGATTCACCAGTTTATATATAACCAAAAAAGAATTGGTTTTGCTGTATTTGTGTCGGATAATTTTCCGGCGAAGAGGTTCGGCCTCAGTGGCCATGAGATTTAATCTCAGATACTTATTTATGTTTGCAAGATGTCCCTCACTTGTGTGATTCTTTTGTTGGATAAGCACATAGAAATACTATTTGGAAGAGTTCATTGGACTCAAACCTCATGAGCGCTATTAGTACCATGTTGAACGATATGAATTGTTTCACTAAAAATTTAAGTTGTTAGAGAATTGATGCTTTTACTTTTATGTCTTCAACAAACTCTTTCTTTTCTCTTCCTAAATCTCGTGCTTTGCTATTTACAGACTATTGTACCAAGTAGTCTTCAATTATCAGCAATGGCAGTTCAGATGTTGGTCATCAACCCTGTTCTATCATTACTTTCCGCCTTGGTGACAAAAGATGCATTAGTTCTTTCCTTCTATTATTATGAATTATTTATGAATGTTGGATGAGTTTATATCGAATCTTGATGGGTGTTATTTAAGGTGATCCCGTTGATGGGTTTTGTGATTGGTTACTTGGGCGAAAAACTTCGTGATGTATCAAACAAGGCACATCTTGCTGCTGCTTCTCTCTCTTCCTATCTGAATGAGGTAAGTGTTTTTGGTTACGATAGCATATAATGAATCAATCAACTGGCTTTGAGGTAAGTGTTTTTGTTTTTGGTTTTTCCATATGAATTTCTGTATCCATTGTGTTATTCGGGGCCATTTCATTCCAATATGAAATTTCAGTCAAAGCACAATAGCTTCTTAGTCTTCTTAAGTTTGAGGTTTGGTATACCTTTTGTTTTTCCAAAATGAACGTATGCTCATGGACATTCCAACTCATGGAGAAAATTTCTTCCACCTTCTCCCTTCTTTTCCAGCTTTTTTTGTTCTATGTTACTCTCTTCCTAATATTCAAAGAATCAAGCTTTCGACAGTAACTGAAGGAAAATTACTACTGGTTACAGATCCTCCCATCAATTCTTTTTGTGAAGGCAAACAATGCGGAGTCCTGTGAAAGAAAGAAGTTCCAGTTACTTGCTTTTGCTGATCTATCTGCGACTATGGGAAAGAAGAAGTTGAAGTCATTTATTCCTCAGTTGGTACAGGCAATATATTTTGGCACCTTACTCACATTTAGCGCTGGAACGCTGCTTGTTTCAAAAGGTTCAATTGATTGTTCTGCCATGGTTTCTTTTGTGACATCCCTGGTTCTGTTGATCTCCCCAATCCAGGTTATGTTTCAATTATTGGAAGGATTATGTTTCTGTAAGTTCATTTGTTTGATATGTCTCCTATCTTTGAAATAAGATAAATAGGTTATATTGCTTCCATCCCATGTGCACAACACACTTCTAAACTAATTATATTCCTGATTAACTCATACAAATTTCAAGAATCCAGATTTCAACTTTATGTGATGTTTTTTTTTTTTATGTGATGTTCTTACCTTAAACCAACTCCACAAAGTAGTTGTAAGGTTTGAGTACATTCTACCCTCCCCGGACCCGACTTGTGGGGTTTCACTGGGTATGTTGTTGTCGTTGTCTTCCCTTAAACCAACTTTTGAACGACTACTTTATATTTTTCTTGTATCACTTCAACTGTTGCAATACACATTGCTTCGAGTCTGGTGTTACTTGAAAGAAGGAAGCGTATAGAAGTAGGTTGTTATTTTACTCTATAAAAATTGAAAGCATATAGCAGTAGGTGTTACCTGGGAGTCTGGACCCCATACATTAGCTTTGTTTTTGGGCGTTGGGATAAGAATCAAGCAGCACAACCTACAAGAATGATTAATCATGAGATAGCTTTACCTTATGAATTGCTGATCTAATAGTACCAAATTATCCAGGTACTTGAACTGAACGGCGTGGAACAAGGTTAGTCAGGAGGTTGTCTTCACATCAGAAGGCATCCATAGGAAGATTTGAATAATACTGTGAATCACTCAAAACTTTCCCTTAATAGAAGAAGCTTTTCTCGAGACCTTGCTTCATAAATTTGATCAACTTTCGATCCCATTTATATTGGAAGGGACCTACACTTTTATGTTTCCCTCTCCTGTTTTGACTTTTTTTTTTCTTGTTCGGTTGGACTTCGCTCATACTGCTTCATGTTGATATTATGGTTTAGCATGTGGAGCAATTTTAGCTATCAATCTGAATCTAAGAGTTGTGCAGGATGTGGGAAAAGCATACAACGAATTAAAACAAGGAGAGCCAGCAATTCAGCGCCTATTTAGTTTGACAACATTTGAACCAGAGGTAAATATATAACTTGTTGATTTCTATGACTTTGGTAATGGCATGTAAGATAGAGAGCGGAAGAACTAGAATTAGGTCTTCTCTTAAGTAACGATACAAAATAATTTAGTCTTGCATTGTTGAACCTGAAACCAAAAACACATGCTGTCAGATTTAAGAGTCATATACTTGCAACCTGTGTTGTCAAAGGCTTATTTAAGGCGCGCTAGCCCTGAAAAGCTCAGGGAAGGCGCTTTAACTCGATTAAGTTTCAGTGTAGGCAAGGCACTAAGGTGTGCACCTCATTGCGCATGAGTTCTGTCTTGAATCGAGCTGGTACTAAACAACAAATACAATAAGCACTAGTGTATTACTAACTTCATTTCAGTTTATGGGTCTTTTGGTGTACCCCTTATATACTGTCAGATTTTTTGCCATGTTTATGAATGAAATACATTTACCTGATAAATAAAAAAGAAAGAAAGAGGCATTCCTTTTGAGATATACTAAAAGGAAAATAAGAAACTTAGATCAAAACTAAGGGAGTAGTTGTTAAGGAAAACAGTATGAATGAAATTTGTTACTTTTCCTTGAATTATGTATAGATTTCTATTTTTTTCTTCAATTGCGCCTTTTTCTTCACTAAAGCCTACAGCCTGTTGCACTTAAACCACAAATCTAGAGTGCTTTTTAGAGATTTTCACCTTTGACAACACTGCTTACAACTGCTTCCATTAATGTCATTATTGCAAGCATATAATCATCATATTTTATTCATATCATCATTTCAACAACATACCCAGTGTGATCCCATAAGTGGGTTATGGGGAGGGTAGGATGTAGGCAGACCTTATCCCTACCTTTGTGCAGTGGAGAGGCTGTTTCCGGTAGACCCTTGGCTCAAAAGTAGTGTAATCAAAGCAGGATTGAAAGGACAATAACAATAGCAAAATAAAATCCATGTCATGATTGGTGAAGGAAAAAAAAGATAGCTCTCCAGTGGCTACCAACTCAGTTCTATCTATTTTTCATTATCTTCTTAGAATTTTGAAAGCTCAATCTTATTAGGTGATTTTTTTACACTTTGCTTCTTTCATCTTCTACTTGGTATGATTGATTGATCTTCGCTAATATAAAATTGGGAAAATGCATAAGTACCTCCCCAACCTATGCCCGAAATCCTAGAGACACACTTATACTATACTAAGGTCCTATTACCCTCCGAACTTATTTTATAAATAATTTTTTACCCCTTTTCGGCCTACGTGGCACTATCAACCAGATAGCTTGAAAAATGGTCAACACGCGCTGGTCCCAGAAGATAGTGCCATGTAGGCCGAAAAGGGGTAGAAAATTATTTATAAAATAAGTTCGGGGGGTAATAGGACCTTAGTATAGTATAAGTGTGTCTCTGGGATTTTGGGCATAGGTTGGGGGGGTACTTATGCATGTTCCCTATAAAATTTCTTAAGTTCTTTCAATATAGGTTACTTCTATGTTGAACATCCTTGCAATTAGTGTTGTTATTTTAACTACTTTCAACTAGAATCATGCAACCAAGTGTGCCTGAATATCTACGATGTACAAATATACAGGAAATTGTGAACCCAGATGCTGTTGACTTAGATTGTGTTGCTGGAGAAGTAAAATACTCTAACGTCTCTTTTAGATATGGAGACAATGGACCTCTTGTATTGAAAAACATGGACTTACATATTAAATCTGGTGAAATAGTTGCCCTGTGTGGACCATCAGGAGGAGGAAAAACGACTCTTGTAAAACTCCTTCTTCGCTTATATGATCCTTTACAAGGTTAGCAGTTTTGACACCACAACACACAGTCTAGCATTCTCTTTAGCCCTGATCCTCAATGATGAATATGAAAGTTCTCTTGTACTGTAGCATGACAAGGTTTACTTCCTCACTGGCAGGTTCCATTTTCATTGATGGTTTGGATATTAGAGGCATACGAATCGAGAGTTTAAGGAGAAACATTGGTTTGGTCTCTCAAGATACAGTAAGTCCAAGCCTCTTTCCCTATTTACAACCATGATATGATGAATTCTTTTGCCTTAATTATTTCAACATACTGCTAATCCTTTATTTGTGGTTAGTTGTTGTAGTGTTCAAGACTTTTGATGCTTATGCATTTCACCTTCGAATAGCAGACAGTAGTTGTGTTAAGTTTTCTCCATTTTCTTTTGTTGATGTGTAATTATATTTGGTGGAGTTGGGGGTTAGGAATGGAGATTCATTACCTGGTACTAGTTTATACCTTACTTCTTTGCATGATCCTCCTGTTACGTTCAATAGAGTGGAGCGTTTCACCTCAAATCTACCACGTTCTATAAAATCAAAATCTTCCATGTTCGGAGAGCTAAGCTACAGGGTTTTTAACCAGAATCACCTGGCAGTACTGGGGTAAGCAGATGATCGATATCCTCGTCGTGGATGGCAAGAATTGGAGACTCAAATTTATTGTTAGAGCCAATAGAGGTTCAATGATTAGTTTGTTGCTAAAACTGAGGTTGTTACACTATAAGGATCTAGTCAAAGGAGAGGAATTTTGGACAAAGCGTCTAAAGATTCTCCAAAGCAACAATTTCCTATGGCTTGTTGACCCAAATTTGAATTTTGTACTGCAGTGTTTCAAATGTGGGGACTGTTATACTCTTTTTAAGTTTTAGTCCTTAATTTTGCTCTAATATTCGTTTCATTTTTCTTCTTTGTATCCGAGAAACATTAAGAAAAGTTACCGCATTAAGTTTAGAAATTTTTCTTTGCAAAGGGAGTGCTTCCAGGTTCTTTACAGATGGATGTTTCTCAGGAACTAATTGGGCATTACTAAGGATTACCTATGTTTCCTAATTATTTCGCTCCAGTCTATTTCTTGGATATCAAATTATAGAAAGTTGAATGTGCAATATACTTTGTGAAATGTGCTTATAAATACTATGTGAAAATATTTCCTACAATCGTACTTGATTAGCTATTGAGCATCTATTTTTGAATAATGCTACCTGTCCTTCTGATTGACCTTGTTATGTTTTGAGTCTATCTCAACTAACTTTACTTCCGTTTTGGCAAAGCTCCTCATCTCGAAAAAGTCGAACTAATACTCCCTCAACTTTTTCCATGTTTGTGCTCATGCCTCATATACAATTAGAGATAAAAGTTTCCTAAATAAGTGGAACTACTATATATTAGTTGGACTTCAAATCTTACATGTCAATTTAAAATACCTGTTCCTGAAAGTGGGGTGGCATTGCTTTTATTATCTAGAAGTTAATTGAAACATTTCATTTAATAAAAGTGGATTTTCTAGCAAAGAGATAGCATCTTGTTGAACCAACTGTCTGCTTTTCACACTTTTGGGCTGATACTCTGTAATAATCTGGAGCTAACTCCTACGTTGTAAACACATTCCTTAAATCCACGCTAGCAAGGTCAACTGAAGTGGGAAAGAGGAACTACACGGCTGAATTGTTTTCCAATTTTTTTAAAATTCTATCAGACATTATTTTCTGGAAGTGTCGCCGAGAACATTGGATATAGGGATAGAATGGCTGGTATTGATATGGAGAGAGTGAAGCTTGCTGCCAGAACTGCAAGTGCAGAAGAATTTATTGAAGCGCTTCCTCTTAGCTATGAGACAAATGTTGGACCTAGGGGCTCAATTTTCAGTGGAGGGCAGAAGCAAAGGTATGATACTTTTCCCACCAATAGCCTTTGATTTTCTGAATTTTCTTATATATTTCTCACACACAATCAATCAGTAGTATGCCTTACTTTTTTTAGAAAGAAAACTTTCCCCTCTTGAGAGCATTCTACTCAAACGAAGGGAGTAACAGAATCTCACACCAAGAAAGTTCTGTCAATACAAAAATGATAGGAAGAGAAGTCGATCTAATCTCGACTAGTCCTTGATTCTCAGGATTGACTGTAGGTCTTCCTCTTCAGTTGATTTTCTCAACAAATTAGTGTTTTTCCAAATTCATTTTGGGTCCCCTTTTTGGGTACTTCAGCTTCTTTGTTTTCATCAATTTTAATTGGATAATTCCTGTGGATCCTGGGTGTGTTTGAATTCAGTCTCTCCTGAGTTCTTTACTGAATTGAGATTTTTTTCTACCTTCTCAAGGGATAGATCTTTTGGGAATGCTATGGAACCTGATACCAATGCTCTTGTTACCTAAAGATAGGGGCTGTAATACTAATAGCTAACCTGTTTTGATCTCGGAAATCTCTCATTCCTTTTCATTTTCATCTCAGAATAGCTATTGCTCGGGCTCTTTATCAGGATCCATCTATTCTAATATTGGATGAAGCTACTTCAGCATTAGACAGCAAGTCAGAGCTGTTGGTAAGACGAGCTCTGCAGCACCTGATGCAAAATCGTACTGTAAGTAAAAGAAGCTTCTATAGTTTTGTTTACAGTTCAGTACCATGGCTCCTCAACCTCTCCTGTCCCTCGTCGTAATTATTTTTACAGAAGTTAAATTCAGGTCCTCTCCGTTAACCATGATGAAGCATATGGAGTGGAAATATATACGAATCTTATCTACCAAAAAGGAAGTACAAATAAGCAAATGTCTATTCTGGTAAAGCAAGGTTACTCTCACAGTAGATGAGTGATAGGTTAACAGTTTCCACAAGATAGGGAACCTCGCAATACAGCTGGAAGGGGGTAGTTATATGCATGTTCTGTACCTTTATCATTATTGAATTATGTACCACAGAGTAAGACTGTGGATACCTCTTAGACCTTACCCTGTTTGCTTTTAATGCTCTTCACTGCATAATTTTTTACATGTGAAGGGAAGAACTACATTCTTGGCTCATTTTAAATTTGGCGTATATCATACATTGTCTAGCAAACATCCTTCACTGGGTGCTGTTGAAAACGTGCCTGAGATGTGAGAGATCTGACTTTGTTGGCACTAGAAGTGTCTTAAGCCATCTTGATTTGAAGTTTGCTAATTGATGACACATTTTATTGCCAAGAATAATTGACGATATCTTTCACATGCACGCACACCTATCCTTCAGGGCAGTTCTAATTATCGTCTAAATCTTTACATGCAGGTACTAGTGATTGCTCACCGCTTGGAAACAGTTTTAATGGCTGAACGAGTTTTCCTTTTAGATGATGGATACTTGCAGGAGGTTCCTCGCTCCTCTCTTTTGGACGGTCAAAGTGGCTCACTGGCATCGATGAGTTTAACAGTATGATGTTTAAATGAAGCTAAAGGTCAATGAATATGCATTTGTTGCTCTAGTATGGAAGTATGTCCTACAACTTTCTTATCCTTCCAATGTAAGCTGCTCGTCGCACCAAATGCCCCTTTATATGAAGCTAAAGGTCTGTAAGGTGCTGTAAATTTCTTGAACAAGTACTTACAGAGTGATGTATATGATTGTATATCTTTACATACGTTAGAAAATGCAATAGAGGCAACACAATAATGTCATTTTTTTTGCCTCATCTATTATAGTGGTAAATGATCAATTGATTTAAGTGTGGGGATTATAGATCAATACGTTAGATGATGTTTGTGGAGGTATCGTTTTCTTCAACAATTTCCAAAAACTTTTTAGTTCAAAAGATAGAAGGGAAGTCCTCTGGTGTGATAAATCTTGCACCTAAATAATGTAGGATGAATTGATTCCACCCTTGTTCTTTGCGAGACTGATGGAGTGTACGTAGATTTTACAACTAGCTTTATAATAAGCAAGAGTGGTAAAGGTCACCTTTTTAATGGTGAATAATTGATTAGATCCCATGAGTATTTAAGATAATACATTACATTATCCCAAAAACTTATTACTCCCTCCCTTCGTCTATTTTTATCTGTCATGTTTCGCTTTTCAAAGGTTAATTTAATTAATTTGCAAAGTTAAATTACATTACATTAATTCGATATTTTAAACAAAAAAAATTAGATATTCAAAAACTACACGAAAATTACTATAAATTGCAACTTTTTGCATATCAATATGATGAAAATATACATCGTAAAATGATAATCAAAGTTTTTATAGTTTGAATCTAAAAAAGGAAACTCTGACAATTATTTAGCAATGATTTAGTGTTGTAGAAGAAATTGAATTACACACAAAATTCAAGCAAACGTTAAATTGCAATCCAAATTTGCATCATACAAGTTTATTTTGGAACTTTAGACGATATGATTTAAATGTCACTTTTGCCTCTATTTTATGTTAGTCTTTAATTTTTACCCCCTCAAGAAAAAAAAAACTTTTTTTCCCTATATTTCACTTCATAATATCGCGCAAGTTATGCTTCATGCTCTTAAAAAATCTTATGACAAAGAACAAAAATTAAAGATGAACAAACCGTGCAATTAGGCCCAACAATCTACATTATGGTCCATGGGCCAGAGTGCTGCAAGCTTAGCCCAATGGAATAAATTGCGCGGGAAGTTTTGCCGCCATATGAGAGTAGAAAAAACTCCATTTTCCCAAATTTTAATTCAAACGCATCAGCTCCATTCTCTCTCTGCAGTTAATCATCCATACCCTAGGTTAGTTTTTTTTTTTTTTTTTTGTATATTCTCTGCATAATGGTATTTATTGATTTTCATGAATGAATTCAGCGTCCGATCTTCTGTTAAAAAAAATATAAAGAAGTAAACACGCTACGCGAAGGGGTTCAGTATTTACAGGATTATGAACTCCGTCCTCATGATTGTGGGTTTGTTGTAATAATTAGGTTATTAAGGGAAACACAAATGTACCAATTATACTACGTTAAAATTACTTTCTATATTTATATGTACATGTTAGAATTCCTTTGGCTAGTTTGTGTGTTTACTTCTTTTGATTTTGAACCCCTCAGTTTTGTTTTAATAATGAGTTTTTGTTTTAGCGTTGGCTTTTAGTTTCACAGTTTCCACCTATAATTTTCTGTATAGAGATTTTCCTGATTTACACTTAATAGTGTACCAAGTTGCTACAAAATTGTGTTAAATAGATCTTTTCATTTTTCAATGATTTGGGTTGTTACACTTTGTTCATTTGTGTCTCTGGTTTTGTAGTTTCCTTGTAATTATAGGTTATTGAAAAATGAAGGCTCTTGGAAGTGTTTTGCATTTTTTTTTTAAATCCTTGAAAAAATGTAGTCAATGGTAAATTATGAATCCCCAAATGATAATTATGTCATTCTTTAAACAATGGATTCTATTGAGTTAATGGTTGATGTAAAATATGATGTTTGAAGTTTTAGCCGGTTAGAATTGTTTAATCTTGTTTGGTAGATGCTTACTGTGCATGTTCGATGATGGAGGTGATTGTTTTTATATTTGCAACTGTTAATAGTGTTGTCATAGTCTGATTCGATGGTGTAAGAAACCTTAACTCACAGGCTTCTCATTTGTTGTCTTTTAAAGTTTTAATCGCAAGAGCTAATGAAAGTGTGTAAGGTTTACTATTTGTTTACCAGAGCTCTGGAACCAGAAACTTAATATTAGAAAGAGATAGAAAGGTTTTTAAGCGTTTCCGAGTTCTGAATTTGATTTTCTTCATGAGTGTAGCTAGTCATTGACTCTAGTTTGATGGTCAAGAGTGAAATGCTTGTAGATGTGATATCTCACTCAAAATCCTAAATTTCGTGTAGCGAATGAATTTGAGATACAGATGGAAAATTTGATAGATTTTAGTTATTTCTGTTGGTCATTGGAAGTTAATGATTGATGTCATGAAGCAGGAAATGCAATGGCATGAAGAAACACAATCTCAATTTTGAGCTTTTATTTTATTTTTGTTTTGTAGACATGGACATGTCAAATCCTGCCGTCTTTGTCAATGCTGAGTTCCTCAAGGAGCATGTAGGACGGAAGGTTCGAACAGTGGTTCAGGTTGTGCAATCTGATGGTGATAAAGTCATTGGAAAATCCACAGATGAAATACAGTTAGTTGTGAAAGGAAATCCACCTAACGCTCTTTCAACTTTTGTTGAAGTAATTGGTATAGCTGACACTATCCAGTCTATTGAAGCAGAAATTTGGACCAATTTTGGTGATACATTTGGTATGTCTTGCTTATGTTATTCAGATAAATACACTTGGCTTCTCCTGTATCTGTTAATGCATTTGAATGTCAATTTGTACCTTACATGTTTTCACCGGCAATCAAATCCATGATTTTATTACTTGTTGTTTCCTTTGCTTCATTTACGTCTTTGTTGTCGTTTTGCTATTTTTTTCTCCTTTATCTTTAGCATTATTTTCTCATTACTGTATTTTCTTTCCATACTTGAGTTTGATATGTTATACTTGAACCGAGGGTCTATCACAAACAGTCTCTCTACCTTCACAAGGTAGAGGTAAGGCTGTATACGCACCATCCTTCCCAAACCCAACTCGTGGAAGCACACTGGGTTTGTTATAGTTGTTTTACCCTTCTTTGTGTCTTGTTCTGCGTATTTTTTCAGGGTCATTTTGTAAGTTGGGAATATAGAACTGCCCCAAAGTCAATGAACCATATAGTCTTCAAACTCATCACTGAAAAGAGAAAGGAAGGTGTTCTTTGATAAAGTTCATAACTCTATAATTGATGATAACACAATGAGTATGCAAACTTTATGGTTGTCATCTACCAGGAACCTTAAGATCTATAGATATTCAACAGATGAGTGTTTTGTAGTCAATTAAGTGAACTGAATGATAGATAGTAGAGTTATACATTATTGTCCTTCCCAACTCGGCTAATTTTATCTTCATTCTTTCACTTCTCTGAAATGTTTCTATACAAAATTACAACAACATATCTAGTGTAATCCCACAGATGGTGTCTGGGGAGGGTAAAGTCAGTGTACGCTACCCCTGTTTCTATATGAAATTCAAGGATTAAAACAAAGGGAAATTTGGTTAGTGTGACTTTTCAGGTTATGATATCTATATTTTACAGTAGTGTTCTACTTTGTTTACGCTCCTACCATCATGCGATAGCTGTTTTATACTTGCTCCTACCATCATGCGATAGATGTCCAGACTGCATTTATTTTTGACACATTGTATGAGCATTTCATGTAAGCATAGTTTGTTGCTTGTTAAACTTCTACTTATGACTTAAGGTTTATAGAAACTTTATGATATGTATCTAGTGCTTGTCTCTTGATGATATATACATATACTTGCTAATCTACAAATTCTTCGATATGTGGCAGATGTTAATAGCTATGAAAAAGTTTGCAGACTGGCAAATGGTGACTATAAGCACTTGTTTATTTGAGGAATGACAATTGGATGCTATGAAAGAGGATATATACACTCTTCTTTCTGCTGCATTCTTCAACAGAAGTTTCAATGTATTATAAGTAGTTTGAAGTACTTTTGAAAATTTTGGAATTTCAGCTTCTGTTTAGGTAGTTTCATCAACAGAAGTTTAGCTTTGTGCTTAGATGTAAACTTGTTTTTCTTCAACTTATGCTATTTGGTATTTTTGAACACTAATATTCTATCTACTATTAGAAGCCTCATGATATTTTTTTTCTTAAAATTCTTTATAAACAATACTTCACTTGATATTTTTGTATTTTAAGAAAAAGGTCACTAGTCATGATTGAAGTATGCAAGGTCATATTAAACCCTTTTTAATTACTATTTAGGTCTTTGCAAATTGTTTATGTTTTGTCATTAAGTTCCTCCTCCTAACTTCAAATAACATAAAATTAAATTGCCTTTTGTATCATAATAACCTATGAAAGTTCAGTATTTCTCATTTTATATGATTCGAGAAATTATTATAATTTTGCTAGTTCGTACTTTGTTTTTAATAATTTATGTTTAAATAATTAAAGTTCTTTAAAAGATACGCATGGTTTGTAATTTTAGTAGTTAATGTTTTTAATTATTACATTAATTTTATCCTAAACAAGTATTTTCTCAACTTTGGGAGGGTTCTTGTGCACATTTAAATAAGGGTAAATCACTTAGATATGCTATATTGAGAAAATATTTACCATTTATGACTATAATTTCTTTTTAACTAAATCTATCAGTTTCATGGAATTAAAATTGTACAACTTCGGACCTATTTTCTTTCCTATTTATTCGTCTCTTTCTCTACATATGATTTCTCCTTTTTTTTTTTTTTTCTAATTTCTTTTTAACTAAATCTATCAGTTTCATGGAATTAAAATTGTACAACTTCGGACCCATTTTCTTTCCTATTTATTCGTCTCTTTCTTTACATATGATTTCTCCTCTTTTTTTCTTCTTCTTCTTCAAATTTTTAATTCAAATAACTATCTTTAAATATTCATCTCTTCAAATTGATTTATACCCATGTTGCACGATATACACCGAAAATATCACGAGGAGAAGAATACAAAGAACCAAAAATTGTACAAAATCATGTGTGCAAATTGAGATTTCAAATCTCTAAAATTGCAGCAGCAAGCCATTGATGACTATTAAAAAGCTTCAAGCTTTGAATTCATTATTTGGATTTTACGAAAGTGTTTGTATAAGTTTTTCTTCCATATTATTGAAAATAACATTCTGGAGTTTATATCT